CTACTTCACAGGTTCAGGATCCTGGATGCTACCCGTTCCTTTGTTCCATCTGTTTATTGTTCTTGGCAGTGTTTGGTCGTGTGTCTGACTCCTCCCCACCCAGAGCTCCTGTGTGCGTTCGAGGCGTCTGTTTCATTCATAGCCTGTTCTTGCTTCTCTTCTCTTAATCCCTGGCACCTGCCCACTGCTGGCAGTTCTGCCTGTAGTGTTCCTGTTTCTGCCCTTAGCCATGCTGCCCCTTCTGCTGGGCCTGCCCCTCCTCCCCTTCTTCACCTGGGAACTACTTCTTCCCGGGTCCGCAGTGCCATCCGCATAGCGGGTGCTTTATGAAAATTTGTTGCTATACTGAAAACCAGGATCCGCGCCGAATGGACAAGGCCGCGGTGCTATGGGCTGACTCAAGCTGAGCTAAGTTTCTATTCCGGGTTTTAATTTCCCTGGTACGCCTGGCATGTCAAGGGCTATAGTTTGCCTTACCATTCCGGAGCCATCGGGCTTCTGGGTAAAACTGTCTAGCCAAGAGACACAGGCTTTCATTTTTCAGAAAGGAAACCCTTCCCAACTGGTGGAAAATAAGCTTTTGCTTAGTGACTAATAACATAAACACAGACAAGATTTCTGGGCTTATAAATAACCAGTTGTAAAAGTGCCCAAGGGAAGCGGCCCTTTCTGCCAGAAGAATGGCTGAGAGTGTTCCTATCACCTCGTTGATAGTGACCTTACGGTGGGCAAGGAGCCTTGGGCCAAGGGGGCGGAAGCCGGTCATTCTTCAGGACAAATTCCCAAGGCCTTGTTCTTATACATTATAAATCCTGGGCTATTCTGGAAAAATAATAGCTGATCTCTAAGGTTCTTCCTGCTCGAAAATCCTGTGATTCTGCGGCAGCCGCGGCGTGTTTTAAAGAGCGATGCCGGTGAGGAGAGGAAAGTCTCAGGGTTCGTTTTGCCAGAGCGGCTGAATAGGCAGGTGAAGTAATTATGAGAATAGCTTCCATTTATTGAGCATTGGCCGAGGTACCGTGCTGAGGGCTCTAGACCTGTGAGCTCATTGAACCACCCCACCCCCCCTTACCGTGTGAGGAAATTGTTAGCCTCATTTGACTGATGAGGAAACTGAGAGTCAGGGAGGTTAATGTATGTGAATAATACGATGGTGGCTAAGAGCATGGAGTGTGCAGTCTGACTGCGGGCCCGGGCCTGGCTCTGCCTCCTGCTTGCTCTGAGGCTGTGGCAGTTATTGAGCTCATTGTACCCAGGCTTTCTCGTCTGTAGAACGAGGCTTCTCATAGGACCAAAGCCGTGTGACATAATTCATGCAAATACTGTTAGCACAGTGCCTGCACATAGTAGGCCTTCAGTAAATGCTTTCTGTTTAGGAAGGGCTCAAGAAGCTTCAAGAAAAACACCACACGGCCTCCTCGATGAATCATTGATGCTCCAAATCTAGAGATATTGTTAGTAATCTAGGGTTACGATCAGGGCCTTGACCATGAGACTCAGCCCGCTTCCTCTGGGAGGGGTGGCGGTGGTGTCCCAGAGCTAGCCCTGGCCACGTGGACGGTTCTCTCACCTGGCTGCCCACCAGCCCCGCCTGCCGCGTGAGGTGTTGATTTTATCACTCGGATGTCGTTTCATTCATCCGGTGTTTCCCAAACTGGCTCCTGCCTAGTTCCTCTGGATGTCAGTAGGATGTGGAAATAGCCAATCAACCTGCAAAACTCTAAGGTAATGCCAGACTCTCCAAGGGCAATCAGGTATTAGCATTTTCCAAACATTTTACCTATGTTTGACCACAAAACCCTTTTTTTCTCCAGGATATCTTGCAGGCCTAATGCTCTATGGAACATGCATTTGGAACTGTTCCCTGGCCCCTCCAAATGCAGTCAGCAGAAGGCCAGAGTGAAGGCGGGAGCCCAATGGGGTGGGGGATTGGAGCAAGGGGTGGCAGGGAATGTGAGACAGGTGGACAGAATCGGGCGATGTTTTAGAGGTAGGACCAGCAGGCCTTACTGATGGGAGCTGCTGAGTGAAATATTTGGTGTATTGAACTGTGTTGAAATGAATTATGTTTAAGTCTCCTTGAGACCAAGTTAGCCAGTTGGAAAGGGAAGACTCCAGTCACTGAAACAGTCCCTTTGTCTGCACGAGGCACGCGACCCCCACCCTCTGACAGTCACCAAAGGGCCAGTGGCTTTGGCCTCCTTTAAGGACGCATCAGACTTTTTGGGGTATGAGGCTCCTTGTTTATTTCTCTGTACTTTCCCTCTTTCTTCCTTCCCCCTTTTAAAATTAGAAAACCCGCTGCCCTCTCCAGGGCATATTGCTTTATCGTTTTGGAGCCTGGGCCATGCATCCCAAGGCAGCTTTTGCCTTTTCCAGAGTTTATTGTTAATGAAAAGTGCACGACAGGCTGAAATCCCTGGCTGGAGCCACGGCTGCAGGGTACACCGAGGCCAGCAGACGCGGGAGCAGCCAATTTTATCTGGCTGTTCTCTCTCCGCCTCCTCCCAGCCCTCCTCCTTCCCCCTTCATTTTATCAGAGAGCTTTGGCTGGACTTGAAGGAGCCAAAAAGGAACTGGAGGGGCCTGTGCTTCTAGCAGCCAGTGACAAGGTGTGGGAGGACAGGGGACCCAGGCCTGGGGCGTGTTCCAGTTCAGCTCGGTTCTCACTGAATGTGTCTGGCTCAGTGCTAGGCCCTGGGGTCCAATAATATTAATACCAACAAGAAGAGCTAACGTTATTGAGTGCGTGCCGAAGTGCAGGCCTTGTTCTAAGCATTTTAACATACCCGATATCAAACCCTCCCAATAGTTCTAAGAAGTACTTACTAATATTATTTATGTTTTACAGTTGACTAATCTGAGGCACAGAGAGGGCAAGCAACTCCCCCAGAGTCACACAGCAAGTAAGAGGCAGATCCAGGAATCCTGTTTAGGAGTGTCTGATTCTAAAACTGCAGTTTTTACCTCTCAGAGTCCAGGCAGAGGAAATGGATTGATTAGTACAGGGAGAGGCAGAAGGGAGCCACAACGGCAGCCATATTTGAGTTCAGTCTTGACTGATGTGTTGGAGTTTCCCTGGCACGTAAGACAGGTAGGAGTCAAGGCAGAGGGAAGAGCATGGAGGTGGGAAACAGCCGTGTGTGTGTGTGTATGCGTGTGTGTGTGATTGTGAGAAACAGCAGACATTCCTGCATCGGTGGGCATAGGGGTCTTGAGGGGAAATGATAGAAGCTGATGAGATGGAGGGAGGTAGGCAGGATCCTTCAGGGAGGGTCTTGGGTCCCCTACAAAGGTTTTTATACCATATCCCTCAGGAGTAATGGATTTCAAAACAGTTATTATTAATTTGTCTTTGCTCAAAGGACATCTTATGTGAAAGCCCAGAGTAGGAAACAGACCGCAGTGGAGTGGCTTTGGTTGGGGGGTGCTTAGGACCTGGAGCTCGTCCTTCATGCCTCCTCTAACCCGCCTGCATGGATGGGCATCTGCCTGGAACTCCCAAGGACTGAGTCCAGCGGAGTTTGAACATCACTGCTCGGGTTGGGGAGAGAGAAGCATTTACAAGCATTCTGGAAGACGATTTCCATGGTGGCATGGAGGGAAGGGGTGGGAAGGGGCTAAGGCAGGGAGCCCAGCTTGAGGTGACTGCAGTGGTCCTAGTGGGACACCAGACTGTGGTGTCACGGTTCCCCACCCACGCGGGAAGCCAGAAATGGGCCGACTTAGAAGCCCCCTAGTCTAGTGGTTCAGCCAGACTGCCTGATTGCAGGCTGTGCAAGTTTCTTAAGTTCTCTAGGCCTCACTGTCCTCATTTTTCAAGTGGTAAAATTATAAATATTTCTCCGAGAGTTTGTTGTAAGATTTAAATGAGTCATTACGTGTCAGGTACTCAAAACTGTACGGGAGCCTGGTGCATAGGAAGTGCTATGTAATTATTTACTATAATTGTCCAGAATGCATTTATGAAGTTTTGAGTTCACACTTTTAATAAACATTAAGGGACCCCCTACGCCAAATAGCGTTCTGAGTGCTGGGGATACATCAGTGGATGAAACAGACCACCTCTCATTTATATTCTAGTTTGTTAGTGTTGTTGAGTCAATTCTGACTCCTAGCAACTCTGTGTACAGCAGGGCGGAACCTTGCCCAGTCTTTTTGCGCCATCCTCTCACCTTCTGGCGCTATATCAGACAATGCTCCACTGCTAATCATAGGGTTTTTGTGGCCAATTTTTTGGAAGTGGGTGGCCAGGTCCTTCTTCCTAGTCTGTCTTAGTCCGGAAGCTCTGCTGAAACCTGTCCACCATGGGTGACCCTGCTCGTATTTGAAATACTGGTGGCACAGCTTTCAGCATCACAGCAACACTCAGCCACCACAGTATGACAACCAACAGACGGGTGGTGTGGTTCCCTGACCCAGAAACCACCCTGGGCTGAGGCGGTAAGAGTGCTGAATCTTAACCACTGGACCACCAGGGCTGGCTATGTTCTAGTTGGGGAGATTAAATAAATAAATATACAGACTGGATGCATTAAAGGGCTAAGAAGGGTCCACAGGATCGTGTTGGACCTGATGGGCCACATTTGGAAATTTGGGTTTTATTTTGAGTGAGATGGAAAGTCTGGAAGGTTTATATGGTTAATAAATGGTAGTTGTGTGTGTTATTACCCATTATCCTCTCTGCAGGGGAGCTGTTCTGGGGGTGAGGGGCTTGTGAGAAACGATCCTGGTAAAGGGGTGGGGTCCTCAGAAAAGAGAGGCAGGTTCCCCCTAATGTTCCAAAGGCATGTCCAAAGTGATGACGTCGTTGTCCACCTGGCCGGAAAACTTGCCCAACCCCTCGTGATGTTGAATGGCCTGACTTGTGTCCTGGCCGGTAGCTGTTCGCCCCCCACCCCGCTCAGTGACATCTCCATCGTCCTCTCTCACACTCTCTGTAGTCATAAGTGAGCTTGTTGGATAAACAGACTATTTGTATCTTGCTGTTTCCCCCACAGTGTTTGAGAACAAAGATAAGATTGTGATCATCATGGAGTACGCAAGCAAAGGGGAGCTGTACGATTTCATCAGCGAGCGGCGACGCCTCAGCGAGAGGGAGACCAGACACTTCTTCCGGCAGATCGTCTCCGCTGTGCACTATTGTCACAAGGTGCGCCGAGCCTGGCCACAGCTTGGGCCACAGATGGTTTTTATGGCACCACATGATTCTTTTCATATTATAAAGGTGATATCTGTTCATTGCAGTATATAGAGAATTTATAAAATAGAAGAAAATCTCCATTGCCCATAATTCCAGAATCCAACACTATTGACATTTTTGTTTGTTTCTTTCCAATCTTCTTCCTTCCACTCCTAACATTTATTTTTTAAGTAAACTTTTTATTTTGAATAATTTTAGGTTTAAGCAGAGTTTCCAAGATAGTACAGAGAGTTTCATATACCCTTTACTCAGTTTACCCTGATGGTAATATCTTACATTACTGTAGTATATTTGTAAAAACTGAGACAGCAACATTCGTGTGTTGCTATTAATGAAACTCCAGATTTTATCTGGATTTCACCAGTTTTTCCACCAATGACATTTCTCCGTTGCAGGGTCTAATCCAGAGTACCACATTGCATGTTTGTTTACATTTGTGTCTTGCTTTTCCACTAGGTATTTTAGTCTAAACATTTTCCTATGTTGCTAAAAATTGTCTGTAATTATTGTGATTGTTGGACATTTAGGCTCGTTCGAATTTGTTTATTATAATTTTATTTATTTATTTATTTTTCCACCTAAAGCCCCAGTAGATAGTTGTATGTCATAGCTGCACATCCTTCTAGTTGCTGTATGTGGGACGCATCTCCAGCATGGCTGGAGAAGTGGTGCGTCGGTGCGCGCCTGGGATCTGAACCTGGGCCGCCAGCAGCGGAGCGCACGCACTTAACCGCTAAGCCACAGGGCCGGCCCCATCTGTTTATTATAAATAGCGATTGACATCTTTATCCATTAACCTGTTCCTCTCATTTGAGTAATTTGCTTAAGAGACATTCCAGAAGTGGAATTGCTAGGCCATAGGTTCTGAACGTTTCTATGCTCTTGGTACCTTTTCTTGTAGGGGTTACATCCACATAGGTTACCTACATACACACACATTTTATTGCAACGCACGTAATGGGATGTGCTCATAATACAGCCAGTTTAGCTACCCTTGGTCTCTGGAGAAGGAAATGAAGTACATAGATGATTCCAAGCCAAATTTCAGCCAACTCATTTTAATCATGATTTACATCCCCTTCATACTTTTCCCTAGAACTGTCGTACCTGGAACCATCATTCACTTTGAGGACAATAGTGACTTGAATCCAACATGGCATCCAAAATAGAGTCAGATTCTTCATTCAGATGATTGCATCCTGGGCCTTCTGGTTTGTTAAATGTTCTGGTTAGCTGAGAGTGGCTCTGTAAGTGATTAGAAGATGATAATTCAAATCTAAAACCCTTAGTCCACGTAAACATTGTTTGACTTCTCCTTGCTGTCTCAAAGGCATTGATGATTCAGTATTTTGTATTGTATCATCGTAAAGCACTACGGATCATATTTTCATTATTTGAACTGTGTGAATACATGGTTTTTGTATGAATGGGGCTTTACTAGACTCATTCCATCTTTTTATGAAAACTAGGAATGCAACAATGTAAACCAGACTACTCCCAATATTTAAACTAAACAAAATCACGTACCTCCATATTCCATATCTTTCCTCCAGGAGCCCTGGTTTGTATATGTCTGAATTCAAAACACATCCTCGAAGGTTTGGGTTAGAAAAAGAGTAGTAGAAATACATGGTTTCATCTCTCCAATCAATGCTTTTGGAGATATGAGGAACTGTCAAATGGAAAGGAAAATAAACAATAAATCACCAACTCTAAACGTGCAGATTCTGAACTAAAGAAATCTTGAATGAAAGATGAATTTCCAGCCAGTTGATTTTCTTAAAAAGAGCAGATTTAATTGCAAATGTCCTTTATGCTGAATGATGTTAAAAACATACTCCCTGCCATTTATCTGCCGAGCCCAAAGTAGCCCGTTCTTTCAGTTCTGCTCTCTTCCCATGCCCACCCACCCCCTTAAAAGATCATCGGGTTTTAAAAAGTGTAGAGCAAGCCAGTTGTTACTGCTGTATAGACCACAGCTTATTGGTTAACGACTCCTTTTCACCTTAGCTGGCTGTCTGCTTGTCACCGCAGTTCAGCTTCTAGCCTTGCCAGAGTCTCCGTGAATGGAAAGGTCACCCAGTATGGCAGCGACCTGCTTTGGTCAGCTCAGTGGCTGCAGGCTCATTGGCCTCTCCCACCATCACCCTTCACCCCGCGTTGAGTCCTGCCGAGCAGAGAGGGACTTTCAGAGCCTTCCCTCCCAGCTGCTTATGAAATACCTCTTGGGATTGCTTCTGTTACCCTCAAGACAGATCTGGATTGGTTTCAGGAGTCACAATAGATTGAGCCAGGCCCCTTTCCAGCACTGGGGAGGCAGGCAGACAGATAGACAGACAAGCAAGGTCTGTGAGCCCCACTTTCTGAGTCCCCAGCAGAGAAATCAGCTTCTTCCCTGGGAATCACATCACAGACAGACATTGTTTGCCTCTGCCTGGGACTATATTGCTTTCACACAGCGGAATTACATTCCGACAAAGAATCCCCCTGCTGTTTTACAGGCTCTGGGGGAGAATGGATTCCAGTCATTTTTCCTTTAACCACACAGCAAGTGACTAATGCTCTCCTGTCGCTAGTCGCTGGCAGGGAGCTTCATGACAGTGAGAGCAGCCCTGAAGGATGGAGGCGAAGACCACCGGGCTGGTGCATTTCTTTAATCTGTCAGACATCTCCCTTTGCTCGCCCTCCTCCTTCCTCTTTCTCTCTGTCTCATCCGAACTGCTCCCATTCAGTTCCCTGCCTGTCTTCTCATTTCAGAACGGCGTGGTCCACCGAGACTTGAAGCTGGAAAATATACTGCTTGATGACAACTGCAATATTAAGGTAAAGCTCTTGCCTCGTTGATTGATATTCAGGGTCTGGAGATTGCAGCCTGGTGGGAGCTTAGGCTGCTCCAAGCTGCAGCCTAGAAATGAGGCAGCCACTTCCTTCCCTGGCAGGTGGGTGGGCTTGAGCCCTCAGTTCAGTTCAGACAATTAAATTCAACAAGCGTTTATCCATCTACCTGCGAGACGTTGTTCTTCATGCTGGGATAAAAAGAGATGACAAAGGCACAGTCCCTGTCCTCAGGAAGCTGATCGTCTATAACTATCACTATAAAAATGCGTATCACAACAACACATTGCATGTGTATTTCATATCATATTTGCCTGATATCACTTAAATTCAATCTTCACAAAACCCCGATGAGTTTGATGCTGTTATTTACGTCATTTTGCAGACAGGAGGCTGAGGCACAGAGAAGTTAAGTAACTTACCCAAGGTAACACGGTGGTAAGTAGTGGAGTTGGGGTTGAACTCATGTCAGTCTGACTCATGAGGCCAGGTTCAAACCACTACATGCAATTCACCAGCAGGGCCCCAGATTATGTTAGAGTTGGAACTCTTTTCCTGCCACTTTTGTGTCACTGCCACCCTGTGTCCCCTCCTTCTCCCTCCCAACCCTCCCACCCCTGAAACCAGCTGTGGAACTGGGAAGCTGACTAAACGATGGTGGTGTTTGCCGTTGGGAAAGAGCATACCCTCAAACGATGAGTTTACTTTTATGGAGAGTGTTATTGCTGGCTGCTCCCGGAGCTGGAGAGAGCTCTCCCGGCCGACAGGGTTCAAGTGCCTCCTGCGGAGTGCTCCGAAGGTCCTTTTGATCACGTCTGCAAAATAAGCAAATATGGTTTCAAAATAAACGGAGCTCGCCGCATGGGTTTCGTTATGAAATGGCCTCAGCACTCCCGGCACCCGGGGATCCCTCTAATTGGCCGCTGGTGACGTTAGTGCCTTGTCCCTGGTCCCTAGACAAAGTACGGGAATGACCTTGCATCGTCCTCACTTTCTGTTGTTGCTGTCAGCAGAGGGGGGCATCACGGGGAGACTGTTTCCTTGGCTAGAAGGATGGAGTTGCTTGGGTGTTTGGATTCTGTTTGCAGATCATGATGGCCACCATTAGTCACCATCATCCTTTGAGAGGCCCCTGGAAGCCATGTCCGGGTGACCTCTGCTTTTGTGAGTGATTGACCGTGATCACATATTTCTCTGTAGTCCGTAGAGTGAGGAGGAAACGGTCAAAGCAGTTCATCCCAGGAACAGGAAGTGACATCTCAGGGTCTCTCCATTTCTGGCAAAGTGGCTGGATTGTTCCAGCAGGAGCACCGGCTGTAGAGTTAGAAAATTCAATCCTGTGTGGCTTGTTAGCTGCTTGACATTGGGAAAGGCACTTACCCCTGTTTCCTCAAGTATAAACTAGGGACCATAATACCCACAGGCTTGTTTTGAGAACTAAATGAGACACTCTGTGTTTGTCTTTATAAACTGCTGAGCACTGTGTGATGAGTCAAGGTTCACACCAGTGGCTTTGGAGTGTGATAGCCTGGGTTTGAATTGCAACACTGCACCTTACTAATGCAATATTTTGGATAAAGTACTCGCCTATCTAAGCCTCAGTTTCTTCCTCTGGTAGGGATGCCAGTCCCTGTTTCTGGGGATTGTTGTTTATTTGTTCATTTTTTCAATGAGTGTTTCTGGAGCAGCCAGCCCCGGTGGTCTAGTGGTTAAGATTTGGTGCTCTCACCTCCGTGGCCCAGGTTCATTTCCTGGTCAGGGAACCACACCACCCATCTGTCGGTTGTCATACTGTGGTGTCTGTGTTGCTGTGATGCTGAGAGCTTTGCCACTGGTATTTCAAATACCAGCAGGGTCACCATGGTGGACAGGCTTCAGCGGAGCTTCTAGACTAAGACAGACTAGGAAGAAGGACCTGGCTGCTCACTTCCGAAAAAATTGGCCATGAAAATCCTATGAATAGCAGCAGAGCACTGTCTGATTTAGCGCCGGAAGGTGAGAGGATGGTGCAGAAAGGCCAGGCAGGGTTCTGCTCTGCTGTCCACGGGATGGCTAGGAGTCGGAATGGATTCAACGGCACTAACAGAATTTCCTGAGTAGTTACTGTGTGCCATGCCCTGTGCTCAGTCCTGAGGAGTCAATGACAAACATGAGGATTTTAGACAATACTATAGTCAAAGCACTTAGCACTTAAGTGCTCTTAATATCCAAGGCGCCTACTTCAGTGGCGGGTCACCAGAGAGGAAATAGAACAGGAAGTCAGCTGCTTTGAAGGGGCCTGGGTCCTGGGGAGTGGTGGTCAGGCCATGGCTGGAGAACAGGGTTGTGGTCTGGGACACATTCTGAGGGCTTGTGTCACCTGCTCTGGTAACTTTCTCTGCGGATTCTTCTTGCCACCTGCCCCCAGAGCTCTCACAATGAAATGTCATCTTTACAAGGCCTGGAATGCGAGCCTCTTGCTCGGGGATTGGGTTCTGTGGCACAGCGTGACCTCTTGGTCCCATGATGTCGGACCAGAAGTGATAAGGCACATAGCTTTCTACGGAGTCATCGAATTCCCCAATGGAGGAAAAGAATAGTTAGAATTCTGAAAGCAATTGTGCTAGGAACAATGGGCAGGAGCCCAGGAAAACGGCTCATTTGCGTAAGCAACAGAGCAATGATGTTGGGCCTCACAGGCGCCCCAGGACCAAGACCTTGCATCTTGGACCCCTGTCCGTGATGCAGGGAAATAGCAGACACATAGAACGTTATAAAAATTAAGGCTTGATCATATCTTTTTCCTTAAGAATTTCCACTCCTGGCATTTCTCAAGGTAAAACACCCACATACATCTAAACAGAAACCAAACCTTCCCATTCTCTGACACTAATCCTTCTCCTGCTTGTTGTAGGAATGCTGCGAGGATCTGAGCATCCTAGAGCTCGAAAGAACCTTGCAAGTCAGTTTGAACCTCTTGTTCTAATGATTATGTGCCCAGGCTCACTCAGTGAGTCAGTATAGACGATATGATGGTGGCACAGTGCTTGTCATGCAGTAGGGACTCATAAACGGTTTGATTTTGGAGTGAGGGGATGACAGCCAGGAGTAGAACTCACATGTCTGACTTCCAGATTCTCTTTTCATCATCTCACACCCACTTCCAATGTTTTTTAAGATGTGTTTCAGCTGGTGTTGATTTGTCTTCCGGCTGTGTCTGCTCAGCTCTTCCTGACTCAGCATTTTGCTGAAACCATATTTAGACAGGGCACGTGTGAAAAAGGCGGGCAGACACATGCCCGCAAGCTGGCCTCCACGTTCAAGAGAGCCCATGTCGTCAGTGTCTGGACTGGAGGACCATTGACACTGGTGGCCTATTCCCAACCAACGGGATATGAGCAGTGATGTCCCCATCTGGTGTTTCTCTAAATATGGACCCATCTTCCCAATTCTGAGCATGGAGGGCTTTGCCCAGGAAGACTGTAACAATGCTGCCGGTTTAAACTTGTCACATGTCCCTGCAGTTTTGGTGTGAGCCATGCAGCTCTTCCTCTCCCCTTCCCCGCCTGATGTTGATTTGCAAAGAGCACATCTGGCACTGGGAATTATTTATCTGGCCACTGCAAGAGGGTGTGGCTTCTAAAAATATTCACACAGTCGGTCGGCAGAAAGAATGAGAGCAATGTGCTTCTTTGGGTCGCATTCCGTCCTCTGTGGAGAAGCATGTCTACTAAAATAGACACCCAGCCTAGCATTAATTTGCAATTAATAAAAACGGGCCAGATTCACATCCCACTCTCTGGGAGAATGGAATGCCGACAATTCCCATAGAAGGCTCCTGTACAAATACCTTACAATGAGAAGAGGGCCAGGCACCAGGGTCAGCCGACCTCCTCAAAGAGGGCTGGGAATTTGATGAGCTCCCAGGGCTCAGAGTAGAGGGGTGTAGGAAAAATAGCCTGTTGGCCCTGATGACAATGGAGACGCGGCTGCTGTGGATAAGAAAAGAAGCTTTGAATGGCCAGGGCTAAGACGAGATAAAAACCTCTGAGGCTTAATAAGACCAAGTGAGGCAGCTCAGGATATGGGCCTCTGGGCTTTGATTATATGAATGTGAGAACTCTGCATTCGTGCGTTAGTGAATCCATTCATTTGTTCATTCGTGTGTGTGTGTGTGTGTACATATATATGCATGCATGCCTGCACTCACTCATCCATTCCTGCACTTAGTCATTCAGCAAATTGAGTATCTCCCATGGGCAATATTGATTCAACCACAAATATTTGCTAAGTTCTGCTGTGTACCTGGCCCTGCGCAGGATGCTGGGGATGTAATAATGAAGTAGATGGGCAGGTGCCTGTCCTCTGGCAGCTCAGAATCTAGCAGTTGTTAAGTCAGCGGTTTGTATAAACAAGTAAATACATAATGTAATTGTCCCGTGGTGAAGAAAATGCATGCAGGGGGAGGATGGAGAGTGGCAGGTGCTCTCTTAGCTAGGGTGGTCAGAGAAGGCCCCTTGCATAGGACTCAAACTCCTCAAATCCACCAAGCTTTCTCTGGCTACCTGGCCTTTGCACACACGGTTCCCTCTGCCTGGAATGTTCTTCCCACTGCTCTTAGCCTACTCCTCCTTTGAGTCTCAGCTTGAATGCCTCTTCTTCCAGGAAGCCTTCATTGATCCTCATCCCTTGGCAGGGCCAGGTGGCCCTGCTGTGTACCTCACAGTGCCCTGTGTAATGTGTTGTGGAAGTGCTGAGCAGGAAGTGGTGGGTCTGTTAGGTAGATGACCAGAAAGCCTTTGCTGAGGAAGTGGTGATTGAACTGGGTTTTGAAGGATGGGTAGGAGTTCAATAGAAAGGAATGTGGTGAAGGCTGTTCAAGGGGAAGGAGCAGCAAGCACAGGAACGGGGCCTGGAGGCTAGAAAAGGAAAATAACCTTTATTGAACCTCTGCTAGAAGCCAGAGCCCTGTGCCAGACCTTCCACAGGCCTGATTTCACTTGGTTTTC